TATACTTTGAAACTCGTTCCGCGTTCTTTTCAACTGGATGTAAAGCAGATAAAATTGCCCATTTAAAGCATTGGTTATCACTATTTTTAATATTAACACAAGCATGTTTTTTATTAATAGAAGATGGTAAATTAATGTAGGAACTTGCGCGCATAGGGTTAAATTTGTTAATGTTAACCTCTAACCTATGAATTGAATCAAGTTTCCAGTTAGAGTCCTTCTCCTGGAATTCTTCGATTCTTTTCAAAGTTATTTGTTTAACATTAACATTGTACCAGTCATCTAACGGGGTTGTTAATAAAATTTCATCCGTTTTCGCGATAAAAGTTTTTAAGTCGGATTGTTCTTCTTTACCATTAATTAAATCTTTTTTAAATTTCGCACCCAACACAGTATAAACTTTTAAAGGACCATACTTGTTTAATGCTTTTTCAATATTTAATTTAAATAAAGCGTAGGCATCATCAAGGAACTCGTTAATAACCTTGTAATCTAAATTTATAATAGCACTGGTTTGCAAACGATTATCGAATGCTTCATCAAAATCCACCCATTTCATTCTAGCATTAGTCACTTGCACACCCGCACCACGTTTCATTAGAGCATCAAAATGGCAACGCAAGTATTCTAATTTTTGATCTAAATTCAAACATCTAGATCTTTGAGATGTAGTTAAATCTGATCTTAGCAAAAAATTTCTAAAAATATTTTTATACCTTTGACACTTATTTTGCCATTCGAATGCAGTAATGAGCTTCTCATCAACCGCCATTGACATTGTAATAATGAGCTGCTGCTCCGCGGATTTAATAAAGTTGTCAGGTTCCTGACAAATTTCAATAAATTCATCAATCTCGATTCGTTGCCGAGACTTTTTTACCACCTTACATTTAGGCATCTTAAAAGATAAATCTAAAAAAAATACCTAAAATAGAAAAAAACCCACCACCTCCTGAAAAGAAAAAAAAACCTAAAACTAAAACCAAAATACCCACCACCTGAAATAAAAAAAAAATAATAAACGAAAAACAAAATCTGAAATAAAAGAGAGAACCTAGAATAGAAAAAAAGCTGAAATGCTGTGGAAGTACTGCGCTAGACCTGTAAACAGAAAGCAGTGATGCTGGTGGCCCGAGCGCTGTGCTATATACCCTACTTCCCACTATGAGGCAACCCACTACCGCGCTCCCCACTACGACGCGCCTCACTACTCAAGCGACGCGCGCAACCAGGTGTGACTGCCGCTGCGCGCTCTGCTGTAGGCATGGGAGGGAGTCCCCGGCTGAGTTCACATCGATGCGGGGAGAGACGATACTCAGCATATGAACTCAGCGCTGGCAGCGGCATAGACGCAACCAGCAATGGGGATCCCTCTCGATGTTTTTTCCATACAGGTTTAGATATAATTATATACATTGAAATTTTAAACTTTAAATTAACTTTAAAACAGGTAAAATAAAATGGCGCCATCTTGCGGTGGCAGCTGGAACTAACTCGGTTGGTATTGCAGAACACCAAGCCACTTGAAAATAATATTTTAAAAATTTAAATTTCCCGCCAAGGAGGTTTGAATTGGTCGGTAATCGAAAGTGGCGCCATCTAGCGGTGGCAGCCAAAAGTAACTCGGTCGGAAAAGTAGAACACCAAGCCACTTTAAATTAAACATTTAAAAATTCAAATTTCCCGCCAAGGGGGGTTGAATTGGTCGGTAAAATGCCAAGCCACTTTTAAAAATTCAAATTTCCCACCAAGGGGGTTTGAATTGGCCGGTAAAATGCCAAGCCACTTTTAAAAATTCAAATTTCCCGTTAAGAGGGTTTGAATTGACCGGTGGCGCCATCTAACGGTGGCAGCCGGAACTAACTCGGTCGGTAAAGTAGAACACCAAGCCACTTTAAATTAAACTTTTAAAAATTCAAATTTCCCGCCAAGGGGGGTTGAATTGGCCGGTGGCGCCATCTAGCGGTGGCAGTCGGAACTAACTCGGTCGGTAAAGTAGATTTCTACATTACCGACCTCGGTCGGTAAGAGAGCCAGAACCCGCCTTGCATCACTACTAGTAAAGTATTTTATATGCTATTAGCGTAAAAAAATACAAAATTGCAAAAAATTGCAAAAAAATTTTTTTCAAAAAATCGCGCAAAAAAATTGGCATTTTTTAGGGTTCCGTACCCGAAGGGGGAACCCTATTAATAAGACTAGTGAAGCAAGGCATGTACCCCCCCCCCTAGCGGTCACACGAATTTATCTAGAGGGCTGAAATTTAGTATACATATGTATTTTGGCGTGTAGATTACAGGAAAAATATAGCAAATCTCATAGGAATTGATTATCATAGCGTTGTCAAGGAAAAACCATGAATTTTTACGAAAAATCCCTGAAAATGACTACGTACCCCCCCTCTGGTTGCCACATCTTTTTACATAGAGAGCTCAAATTTGGTACACTTATGTATTTTTACGTGAAAATTACAGGAAAAATATAGCGAACATGATTCGGATCAATTTACATAGCGTTGTCAAGGAAAAATCAAAAATTATGAAAAAAGCGTTTAATCCACCTAGCGCACACACTATTTGACCAAGACAGTTCATATTTGGTATACTTACGTATTTTTGCGTGTAGATTACAGGAAAAATATAGCGAGCACGATTGGAGTTGATGATCATATTGTTTTTAAGGAAAACTCATATTTTTAGAAAAAATCATGGATTTTTCGAATAAAAAAAGAAGAAAATTTTATCCTAAGAGATCCAAATTTATACTTTTTTACGTATTTTTACGTGTAGATTATAGAAAAAATATAGCGAAAACGATTCGGGTTGATTATCATATAGCGTTTTCAAGGAAAAACTGATAATTTTCTTTTAAAATCATGAATTTTCCTCAAAAACCGAAGAAAATTTTATCTAAAGAGTTTCAAATATACACTGCGACCCGAGTTTAGCGAAATCTCGCAAACGGCAACAATAGGATGGTAATTAAGCGGTAAGCGTAAGATGCTCCGACTCGAGCAGGAGCGTAGAAGTAAGGCAACGCGGTTCCTTCTAGTTGAAAATGAGTACCAAGCGGAGACGTTCGTCTGGGAGGTACAAGGTTCTTTAATCTTTAATTTTAAATAAAAAATTTGTTAAATTATAAAAGCTTATTTATATACATGTATACAAATTTTATTTTTGTTTTCACTCCCAGCAAATTTATAAATTTACTTTATGAAAATCTTAATTTTAATATTTGCTCTCAATGTTATATTTGATGAAATTTATATTATTTAATTTCAAATAAATTTAAAATTTATAAGTCAAATGGTGAGTTTTTCCCCTTTCTTGTCTGATGTCAGTACAATTATTTGAATTTTTATTAAAAGTAATTTTAAGTATTACTTATTAGTGTTTATAATTATAATAAAATCTAAAAATTAAAATATAATTATAATAATTATTGCAATAAAAATATTATGTATTATAAGATGAAGAATTTTCAAAAAAAGAGTTTAAGGATTTCGTATTTCAAGTAGTTCGTACGGCCCTGATTGCTGACGCCGATTTCGGGAAATCTCATTACTGAGTTTAGCGAACGACCCACCAAACCTGCCGCTAAACTCAGGTCGCAGTGTATACACTTTTACGTAATTTTGCGTGTAGATTACAAAAAAAATATAGGGAGAACGATTGAAGTTGATTATTATAGCGTTTTCAAGGAAAAACTAATAATTTTCGATAAAAATCATGATTTTTCACCAAAAAAATTTTTTAATTGAGTTTTTTCAAAACATACAATTTTTTTAAAAAGTGGACTTTTTCCTTAAGTTTTACAATTTTTGACCTAGAAAGATAAAATTTTCTTCCTTTTTTTGGGGCAAATTCTTGATTTTTTTTCAACTCCAATTGTGCTTGCTATATTTTTTTGTAGTGTTTTGCCATTCTTTATAATTTGCCATTTTCTATTTTTTACCATTTACTATTTTTATTCTCTTTTGACATTTTTTATTTTTTGATATTTTTATTATTTTTTAGTTTTATTAATTTATTTTCAAATCTATGCGCTCACATTATTTTCAAATTTATGCGTAGATTATGTTCTATGTTTATGTCTATGAATATGTCTATGTTTTCTATCTAGGCCTTCAAACTTTAAACCCCTCAAATTTTAGGTTTAAGGGTACGGAACCCTCGGTTTTAATGCGAGTGTAACTCGCACTTGTCCGATTTTTTTTTAAATAGACATGTATGTAAGGCATATGATTTTAAAATTTAAAGGAAAGCTGTAAATAATTTAAGAAAGAAAACGGAAAATTTGGTTTTGGTATCGGTCGTATTAGAACTTAATATAATAAGAAGGATATGAGGGAAATTGAATATCGCCATAACTTTGTGGATAAAATTTTTTTTAGCTGAGATTTAAAATAGTAAAGTATTTTATATGCTATTAGCGTAAAAAAATACAAAATTGCAAAAAAAATTTTTTGCAAAAAATCGCGCAAAAAAAATTTGGCATTTTTTTTAAATAGACATGTATGTAAGGCATGTGATTTCAAAATTTGAAGGCAAACTGTAAATAATTTAAGGAAGAAAACGAAAAATTTGGTTTTGGTGTCGGTCGTTTTAGAACTTAATATAATAAGAAGGATTATTTCTACATAATATAGTAATATCAAGAAATCAATTCATAAACTTTTCAGTAACTGCATGCTATTCATGACAGTTGTACTTTGATACAAATTTTAGGTATCAAAAAATGATTCGCATTTTCGTATGATTTCTTGAAATGATCCAACTAATGAAGATCAAGTTGATACCATTTATAGGTAACAAAACGCTGTAAGTTTAATTGATACCTTTACCATGATTTTTGTACAAGGTCTTGCGTACGACCTTGTACAACGTTTTTAAGCTGGATCCCTTTTTGTAATTCCTTTTATTAATATATGATTTTGGGATAATTTTCAGCTCTTTTATGTTAAAAATTAGATCATAATATAAAATTATAAATATACTTACTACTTGGGAAAGGTAATTCACAGAACCAAATCTGACAAAAACTCGTTGTTCATGCCATGAAATTGGCACAAAAAATTTTTTTTCGTACCAAACAGAACCAATGTGATCTCTTAATTTTCTAGAAGTTGTAATATCGTTATAGGATGAAGGAACAGGCATTTGCATCACATTTCCTACCTATACGTAATTTAAGTAACTAATTAGTTGACAATATAGTATACTAAAACATGTTAGAATGAACAATTCTTCAAGGCGCTTGTATACCTCACCGATCCCGAGTATACTTTTGTCGTGTACTATTGGAGTAAAAGAGACAAAAGATATTTCCGTCTCTTTTACTCAAATGGTACACGACGCAAGTATACTCGGGATCGGTGAGGTATACAAGCGCCTTCAGACTATTTCAAAAGTTTTATGTTTAACTTACTTTACGTAAATCATGTGCAAACCAAGATTCATTATATCCTTTCATAGCATTTTCTGAAGGTCCCATTAAAAAGTCCCATAATCCATCAAGAGATTTTATCTATGAAATAAATCCACATCTGTCACTTTTTAACAATAATATAACTAACAAGAAAAAAATGTGTAATAATATAAATATTTTTATTCAACAATGACACTAGGGGAAGGTGGGGTTATGAGAGAAGGCGGGTAATGGGAGCTTTCAAATTTCAAGTACTTACACTATAAAAAATTTATGGTAAATTTGACTAAATTTTAACTATTTCTCCTAGTTCTAGGAGGCGCCTATAAACAAACAGTAGTTGAAACAACTATGTAAAAATTGTCAGATTAACTGTAAAGTATAGTAAAAATTACTACTTTTACAGTAAATTTAACCAAATAAAGAAGTTAATACAATGATTTTTCTGAGTCACATTAACTGTTTCATTAGGTTGCAGTAACTAATTTTCATAGTTGCAGGAGGCGCCTATTAGCAAAAAGTTGTAGAGACAACTATGTAAAAACCGTTAAATCAACTGTAAAATTTAGTAAAAAAAACTATTCAAAGTAGTAAAATTATAATTATTAATATTAGTATTGAGATTTATTTTTTCATCCTCTCCCCTACTACTTTCGTTCATTTATGCCTTATAATATTTAATTTTTATATACCTAACAGAGAAAAATCCCGACACGCTGGGAATTGAACGCACGACCCTAACATTCGCAAACCAACAACTTAACCAACTAACCACGTACGCACTCTAGGATGGCTTGCATAATATTTGAGGACATTCTTGTCACTATGCAGTTAATTTTACTATCCAATGTAGTCAAATTTATTACTTTTAATAGTTATAGGATTATCTTCTTTTAATTAATACTTCTCAAACTTTACATAAAAACTTTTTCAAGTGCTAAAAATAGTAATATTTACTACAAAATAACAGTTAACTCTACAACAAAAATTATAAGTTAGACTTGAACGATAGTCTTTGCATTAATAGTGACTACATGAAAACAGTAAGCCTAATTGTTTTTCTGCAATTAGGAAGAAATGGTTTCTTCAACTACATAAATCATAAAAATAACTATTTTCAACACTTATTTTAACTACATGAAAACAGTAAATCAAATTTTTTTCTGCAACTAATAAGAAATGTTTCTTCATCTACACAAATCCTAAAAATAACAATTTTTAACAGTAGTTTTAACTATTAAAATGTTGTAAAGCCATTTAAAATTACATGACAGTTATTGCAACTACAAGTGTTAGTAATTTTAACTAGATGAAATTGACTACTAAAATTTAGTACCACTAACTGTCTAAGTTTAGTTAAAATGGTTCTAAATATGGTACTTTTAACTGCTTTTTTTTAACTACACATATTTAGTCATTTTTACCAATGCTATTTTTTGTATGTAGAGACTTTAAATTTCGCGGAAATAACTAGGAACACTTCGACAATATTCCTGTATGTCATTACGAAGACAAACGGTCACATTTCTGACAGATTTGTAAAAACTACAAGGAAAAACATAGTAAACATGGACTAACTTTAATCCAAAGGGCCCATGTCGGCCCATTTCGGCTTTTTTCATATGAGAGATTCTTTTTCAATCGCCCCAGCCCAAAAAGTCAATGTTCTGGGATTGGCTTCATACTTTGGTAAATTGTTCTCCTATATGATAGTAATAATTCCCTAAAATATAAACTCATTAAAAAAATATTTGTAGAAAGTAGAGGGGGTTGAAGTTTTGACGTTAAGGGTAACATTGTCATTTTCAAATCCGTTTAACTATGACAAAAGTTAATGGATTTTAATTTATCTATAATGAATTTTATTGCATTTTTCACGTACTTTTCAAAAATGTATACGAAATTTAAAAAAAAAATTTTTTAACCCCTTTTTTTTCAAAATCAACCCTTATTTTTCGATTTTCACCCCTTCGGGTATTTTTTTTTTTTTTTTTTTTTATTTTCATTGGAAAGCTGAGGTTTTTTCCGATGAGCTATGTAAATATGAAAATGGGACAACAATAATTTTGTGAGTAACAGAATATTAAAGTAGGCGGTGCCGATAAGGGTGCCGTTAAGGGTAACATTGTCATTTTCAAATCTGTATAACTATGACAAAAATTAATGGATTTTAATTTATCTATAATGAATTTTATTGCATTTTTCACGTACTTTTCAAAAATGTATACAAAATTTAAAAAAAAAAATTTTTGACCCCTTTTTTTTCAAAATCAACCCTTATTTTTCGATTTTCACCCCTTCGGGAATTTTTTTTTGTTTTTTTTTTATTTTCATTGGAAAGCTGAGGTTTTTTCCCATGAGCTATGTAAATATGAAAATGGGACAACAATAATTTTGTGAGAAACATAATATTAAATTAGGCGGTGCCTATCTAAATCCTCAAAGATGATCTCCAGGTACACCCCTTATCGGCACCGCCTACTTTAATATTCTGTTACTCACAAAATTATTGTTGTCCCATTTTCATATTTACATAGCTCATCGGAAAAAACCTCAGCTTTCCAATGAAAATAAAAAAAAAAAAAAAAAAAATACCCGAAGGGGTGAAAATCGAAAAATAAGGGTTGATTTTGAAAAAAAAGGGGTTAAAAAATTTTTTTTTTAAATTTCGTATACATTTTTGAAAAGTACGTGAAAAATGCAATAAAATTCATTATAGATAAATTAAAATCCATTAACTTTTGTCATAGTTAAACGGATTTGAAAATGACAATGTTACCCTTAACGTCAAAACTTCAACCCCCTCTACTTTCTACAAATATTTTTTTAATGAGTTTATATTTTAGGGATTTATTACTATCATATAGGAGAACAATTTACCAAAGTATGAAGCCAATCCCAGAACATTGACTTTTTGGGCTGGGGCGATTGAAAAAGAATCTCTCATATATTAATTTTACATTATATTCTGAGTAATTTAAACCTTAGATGAAAAAAATCGATACAGGGATTTTCGAATAAACTCGATTTTTGTGTATTTTTTACTTTTTATAGAAAGTGCCGTTGACGCGAACAACCTGCCGTCTCTTACAAAAATAAGAAGAAAACCACCCCAAAGTAATGTCAGAAACGCCATAGGCCCTGAGTTTATACAACAAAATGCCATGATCGACTTTATCAAACGCTTTTGAAAAATCGGTGTAGATCGTATCCATCTGTAATCCACTTTCTAATGAGGACGCTGAGTATTGAGTAAAAATACATAAGTTTGTCGATGTAGATCGTTTTCTTCTGAACCCATGCTGCTCCTCAATCAAGAAACACCGAGTAAATTTGATCATAAGTTAAACTTTCAAAAAGCTTAGGTATTGCACTGAGAATTGTTATCAGTATATAGTTTTGGACATTAGATTTATCACCATCCTTATAAACAGGGGAAATTATACCCAACTTCCAACACTCAGCAAAATAATCCGCTAAGAGAAAAGAGTTGAATATAAACAAAAGAGATTCAATGATAGAGGAACAGCATGACTTCAGAAACGAGTTCAGAATACCATCGGAGCCCGCTTCTTTTGAAACATTGAGAGTCCGAATCTTTGCCTCAATATCCTTTTTAGTAATCAAGTTTAGATTTAAATCGACATCATCATTGCATTCAAAAGAAAAATCATCCGTATTATAATCAGAAGTGTTATAGACTAATTTAAAAAATTCTGCAAATAAATTAGCAATATTAAAATTATTATTAGCTGTTTGTTGTGAAAGATACATCTCGTTAGGAAAGACAGATTTATTTTTATTTTTAATAATAAAATTCCAGAATGCTTTTGGAAAGTCAATAATATTATTATTAATTATTAATATTTCGTGATTAGATTTTAAAGGTTATTTCAAAAAAAAAAAATATTTCGGCATTTCTTTTCGGATTTTTCAGGTTTAATTATGTGCGGGTAGATTTGAAAAATTAGCGACAATTTTTTTAATAAAAAAAGAAGATTGAGTTTCGTTATTACGCGGTTTATTTAAAAGGACTAAAAAAAATTTCCGGCATATTTTTCTGATTTTCAGGTTTAATATATATATATATATATTTTTTTCAGGTTGATATGAAAAATTATTGACAGTTTTTTCACAAAAAGGAAGAATCAATTTGGATATTTTGAGATTTACTTAAAAGAAATTTTCAAAAAAAATTTCGGGTATTTATTTTCTTTTTTTTCACATTTATTAAGTGCGGGTAGGTCAGATAAATAAGCAATAATTTAAAAAAAAAAAAGATTTAATTTGGGTATTTTGCGATTTATTTCAAAGGAATTTTCAAAAAAAAGCATCCGCCATTTATTATCGGATTTTCAAGTTTAATTATGTGCTAGTAGGTTGGAAAAATTAGTGAAAATTTTTTCAATAAAAAACGAAGATTGAGTTTCGTTATTGTGCGGTTTATTTCAAAGGAAATTTTCTTTAAAAAGTTTGCGGCATATTTTTCGTGATTTTCAGGTTTAATAAAGTGTGGGTTGATATGAAAAATTATTGACAATTTTTTCACAAAAAAGCAGAATCAATTTGTATATTTTGAGATTTATTTCAAAGAAATTTTCAAACAATGCTTTCAGTATTTATTTTCTTTTTTTTCAGGTTTTAATAATCTGATTTATTAATCTAATTTTTTTTAAATTCCTTTAAAATCTATTCACGAAATATAAAAATTGATTCTTCTTTTTTTCTTGAAAAAATTATCGATATTTATCTGACCTACCCGAACTTAATTAAACCTGAAATATCCGAAAAGGACTGTCGAAATATTTTTTTTTGAAATAACCTTTAAAATCTAATCACGAAATATCGATATTGACCCTTCTTTTTTCTTGAGAAAATTATAGCTTAATTATCTTACCTACCCGCACTTAATTAAATTTTCAAACAAAAAATATTCCGGCATTTCTTTTCGGATTTTTCAGGTTTAATTAAGTGCGGGTAGGTCAAATAAATAAGCGATCATTTTTTCAAGAAAAAAAAGAAGAATTAATTGTGATATTTCGTGATTAGATTTTAAAGGAATTTAAAAAAAAAGTTTCCGGCCTATTTTTTTTTAATTT